CTGGCTGATGTTTTGGTCACTTTTGCATGCTGGCGGTGCTTTCACTCTAGTGGTAGCATGAGACGGAGTCTACAACCCACACAAATGGCTCAGGTAGTACAGCTCATCCAGGATGGCACATTAATGCGAGCTGTGGCAAGAAGGTTTGCTGTGTCTGTCAGCGTGGTGTCCAGAGCATGGAGGCGCTACCAGGAGACAGGCCAGTACATCAGGAGACGTGGATGAGGCCATGGGAGGGCAACAACCCAGCAGCAGGACCTCTACCTCTGCCTTTGTGCAAGGAGGAACAGGAGGAGCACTGCAAGAGCCCTGCAAATGTGCATGTGTCTGCTCAAACAGTCAGAAAAAGACTCCAGGAGGGTGGTTCAGGGCCCGACATCCACAGGTGGGGGTTGTGCTTACAGCCCAACACCGTGCAGGACGTTTGGCATTTGCTCTGTGCTCTTCACAGATGAAAGCAGGTTCACACTGAGCACATGTGACAGAAGTAACAGAGTCTGGAGACGCCGTGGAGAACGTTCTGCTGCCTGCAGCATCCTCCAGCATGACTGGTTTGGCAGTGGGTCAGTAATGGTGTGGGGTGGCATTTCTTTGGGGGGCCGCACAGCCCTCCATGTGCTCGCCTGAGGTAGCCTGACTGCCATTAGGTACAGAGATGAGATCCTCAGACCCCTTGTGAGACCATATGCTGGTGTGGCAAGGAATGCAGAGTGCTTTATGCCTCCCCATAGGAAAGCATTGAAACAATGCTTTCCTATAAGGAAATAGTTGACACTGGATGTCCTCATGCAGAGCGTGAGGACATCCAGCGTCAGTTATTGGACCAAAAATCTGTTAGGATTCAGGAAGCACCACTGTAATGCATTTTAACCCACATATATATGGGTGAATCAACAATCCAAGATTTACCTGTGGAATTTTATTCAATGAATACGATTCCACAGGTAAGCCCCAGGCGACCATTTCGCCCATGTATAGATTAATTTAATTTGGACAAACAACCAAGTTTTTGCACAACTTGAATGGATAGCCTTTGGCAGGATTGCAGTGCACAGAGGCTGGAGTGTCAAAGGTTTATCATGGAGATATGTTTTCCAGGTTGGATGGAGACAAAACAAATACTACAGAGTTCCTTATACTAGGGCACCAGCTGAGGTTTCAACAGTAACTGATTCTTCTAATCATGTACCTCCAAAGTCAACTTTATGAAAAAGGCAATGTCTAACATCATCATTTTCTATTAAAGACCACTGAATACCCTTAGTCCCTTAAAGAAACACTCCAAGCACAATAACCACTACAGAATGCTGTAGTTGTTATGGTGTCTGCAGTGTGCTATTCCCCCGACCATTGAAAGTAGTCAAACAATTTAGAACAGTTTGACTTCTTACTTGGGGTCTGGTTGGAGTCACTTACTGTCTTCAATACTGTAATACTGCAATGGAGAACTGTAAGCTTCTAAGCAGATGCTTATGTTAGCTCTCCTAAGCTTAGCCCAATTGAATTATCTGTTGTTGTTATCGGTTATCTAGTGAGTTAAGCCCTGCACCACTGGACAAAAAGCTTCTCTCTCTTTCTGAAGTAGTGCTGGTGCATATCAAATCCCAGGCAAGAATATATCATTCTACTTACAAATGGGGGGAAAGGTCCACAAGGGAACTCCTAGTACCAGTACAGTACACTGTAATGGTTTTGTTGCTTGGACTGTTCCTTTCAGACATGCACAAACCAGAGGTACACATACCACAGTTTGCATTAGAAAGTACAAACAGATCTATGTAGTCATTGATCTGTTTGTACTGGCCATTACTCTCCTGTTAAATTTTGATTTTGCAATTCTCCTTAACCTCTGTCAGACACTGTGATGGGACTAGAAATCAAGTTACCCAATGGGGGTGATTGAAAGATCATCAAAGAATTGTTTGCACTCCCAGTATTTAAATAAACCCCATTTAATGTTAGCAAGTGAGTGTTTTTTAGTCTGGTAATTATAGCAGTGTACATTTTAGTATAATTGTAATTCTATCCTTAAAAACTAATTTGTGAATATTTGATGTTATGACTTTCATGAAGACACACGTTTCTATCTTGAGAACATTGCTGTCCTGTCACTGAACTCTCCTGCGAAATGTTAACTCTCACTGTACTTCGGAGCATTTAACACTCACAACCAGAATGAAGTATACTTTAATCATAAATCTGGATAAAGTGCTAACTGGTAATAAAAATAATAATTTAAGTTTTAGGAGAAATCTAAGTACAAATACTCTATAAGCAACATGGTAGCAGTGCACGGGTGAATACTGGATCAAGTGGATGGATGGGAAACTATTCTTTAACCACTTAGGAGAGTTACACCAACCCCTATTAACACTTATGCTTTTAGAAGTGGCCATGGTGGTAGAAGTCTGTATGTGCAGCATTTCTGCTTGAAAATGCTGCACACACAGAGCTATTTGCACTTTTGTGCCGGAGGTTATTTACACCCCAAGAACACTCGACTTAGGCAACCTGGAACTCTGTTTAAAGCTGCCCAATATCAATTCCGTGCAACAAATCCATCAGGAGCACACAGTACATGCTAGCAACAGATCGTATTTAATTCTTTATTTGTAGGCTGGACACAATAAAAATCCTTCCAACCAGCCTCTTGTTCTCAGTGATTGGGTGGAGGGCAGGCTTTAGTAGCAAAAGAGCTATCAGGTCATCCTGCTACTCCTAAACATGAATGTTTTTCTATGAGAAGCATTTGATTGGACCAAGAAGAAGAAGACTCGGATGCGGTGTGAAGTCAGATGCCCGATTGCTGTGGACTATTCCCATTGCTGGATTCCAAGTGTTAGCGTCTTACTTTATATATCACCCCATCTCTCAGCACTGACTCCAGAGCCAAAAAATCCATCTCAAAACAGAAAACACTCAGCAGGACAACTTAAATATGATAAACACCATACACAGTGTAGTTTAGGATCAAAATGCCAGACAGGTCCTCTCTGCATTAGAGAAATAACAACCCCAGATGATCAGTTCAGCATTGGACCTTGTCAGTGAATTGATTGATACTGCTCTGGAACAATTCTGCCTAACACTATTATCTTAGACCAGGAGTGCCCCTATACATAGATCCCCAGATATTGTAGAACTACAAGTCCTATGATGCTTTGTATGCCTCTAGAATTGCAAAGCTTCATGGGAACTGTAGTTTTAAAACATCTGGAGAGCTACCTTTTGGGCTTTACACCAGTGGTAGGCAACCTTCAGCGCAGTGCAAGCTATATGCAAAAGGCAATATTACATAGACAACATGACTATCATATTTTGGGCATGTTCATAGGCAAATAGTTTAAGGGTCAAGACCTGGGTTTGGCATATGGCGTAGCAGAAAAGATTAAGCTATATGATTTAGATAAAGTGCAAGTTTTAATTGCAGGGCTTAGACAGCCACCAGAGGTGCTGCCTGCTGTCTCACAGTGAAATAATGTCCTCACCCTTTGAATAAGGACATCCAGCGTCTTGGAAAACCCTATAGAAAAACAGTGATTCAATACTTTTGTATGGGAGTAGGCCTAATGCACGCAAATTATTTTTAGATGTGACTGTTCCTCTTTAATAACCAAATTAAACATTGCATTTAAAGAAATGACATGCAAATACGAAAAAGAGACAGTATGCGAGGAAATATAACCAAAAATAAAGAATGCCTGTCATCAAGTTTATTCTGTCACAACAGCCATGGTTCTGCTTGAAGAGCATTTAGTATAAGTGGCTCCATGCAAATAGGCATGTTTGCTTCTGAGAGAAAAGTGTAAAAAAACAAAAATTAAAAAAATTCTTTCTTTCTTTCTTTCTCTCTCTCTCTCTATCTCTATCTCTCTCTATATATATATCTATCTATATCTATCTATCTATCTATCTATCTATCTATATCTATCAGTGCCTACAAGCCTGGCTTTAAAAGGTTAAGAGCCACTGCTAGCCTGGAGGCATCATAGAACATACAGGAAGAATTAATTACAACTCAAACATTTTCACTTGCCATTGGCTATTGGAAATTATAAACCATGTCATATGATCATAAAAACTGGCATGAAAAAAAAAAAAAAAATAGTGGCCACCGAGCAACATGCATCAGCCATGCTGACCGAATTTACCTGCTGGGTTCCAGGATTTGTCCAGACTGGTCATGTTTTACAGCAATCCTGAATTGCTTAGGGGGCAGAATACTTCTTTGGTTACAATGTGTAGGGCGAGAATAGTGTAAGGTAAGAAAACCTACTTGTACACAAAGAAGAACATTTGAAGATTGCGCCTTCGTTAAAATAATTCACGAGTGAAGTAATAAAACATACAAAACACCTAAAAAAACAATTAAGAGGTTTTTAATAATGATATGTATAAATAAATCCTGTAGATATCACCAATTTGAAGACAGAAAACAGCAACTGCCATCTATAGAGGAACAAGTATAAGGTTTGCAACTACGTCAGTTGTGCAGTAGCCCTTTCTTAATAAAATTAAGGTATATTAAGAAAAGGGTGGTATTGCCGCTCCGAATTCACAGCTGAAATAAATAAAATATTACAGCGAACACGCAATACTCTGATTAATTTAGGTTAAAAAGTGTATAAGGCCACAAATTGAGAGCACTTGTATAGACATAATCTTTCAGTATTACATGTGAGGTTTCTTGCAAAAAAACTGTTTGAAACCTACTGAAAGGAAGCAGATTAGCCTGCATTGCTTGTTACGCAAACAAGCAGTGATGAAATATGTGGGGAAAATAACTGGAGCAATCACGAACAAGCAACTTTGCAAAACTCTGCTCTTTGCAGCTACAAAACAGAGATTGCACACATTTTAAAAATGTATAAAAAGGAGTGATGCTGACTCTCAGTGGTCACAATAAAAAAAAAACACTTGTCATTAAAAATATATAAATCTTATTTTTTTAAATCCATGTATATTGACATTGTTCAGAAAATCATTTGCTTACTTTCCCACTACCCCTTTGTAAAAGTGAGCAATGGGACTGATAATTTGGACCAAGGTGCACAACCATCTTTTACTTTCCAAAATCATGTCACCTTTGTGCCGGCAGCATTTTCTGAGATTTTGAAAAGTAATGGACAGTTGAAAATAGTGAGCACTGGGTCAGGCAGCCAACAATCCAACCAAAAAAAAAAAAAAGGCAGTCAAAAGGGGAGAGTGAAAAGGAAGACAAGGGATTTCTTCAAAAAGGTCAATATACATGAATTGAAAAATAATGAGATCGCATGACAGATATTAAATAAAAAAAGTGTTAAGGACAGTTCCTCTTACAGCTTGATCCACATGGACAGCTTATTAAACCAGTGGTACCCGTCTGCTGGCACACCACCAGCTTAAAGACAGAAGCAGAAATGCACCCAGTCTGCCATATTCATGATATGCTAAACATACTTCCTTCAATTAAAATCAAGTGTATATAAACAATGAGCTTCATATTATTTCTAATTAAAAATATTCTCTACTTTATACAAGTGAGATTTTCCTTTTAACCATTAGGTTACCACCACTGTCCCATTTGTATTCAACATCTCCTGCCTTAGAATAAAGTGTTTCTCCAACACACACACATACATACATTATATATATATATATATATATATATATATATATATATATATGTGAAACCAAGAGGGCCGCACTCACCAGAACATGCATACATTATAGGGTGCTGCTGTGGCCAAAATATACAAAATACAGAATCCAGCACACACGCTTATTCACTAAACAATGATTTCAAATCTTAGCGATTGTAATAGTTTTATTTAAAAACACCTCACCTAGGCAAAAAATAATGGGGGAGTTTAGTATCATTATATGATCATATATTGCATAAACCTGCTGCAACGTCAATGTACCACATTCTTGGCAGGTCCTAATCTAGCAGCCTAATGCTTGCTCTTATGAAATTAATCCACTGACTTGGGAAATACTTCCTTACTGGGACTCTCTGCAAGGACCCAATTTAGCCTTGACTTTTGAAAAGGTGCATGTGCGCACTCTGAGCCAGCCAGGGGAGAGGGCGTGAATAAAGGACTTGAGAAGGCAGGATAAAAATATAGAATATAATTATATATATATATATATATATATATATATATATACACATATATCTATTTTATATATAAATGTATTCATACTTACCGTAATTTTCTTTTCCTGGTCATAGGCCATGGCAGCACAACAATGGGTAGCTCCTCCCCATCCCCAGTTAGACAGGAACTAATTAAAACAAGGGTATAAGTAACCCCTCCTACCCTCAGTCTTGTATTCCAGCAAAAATCCCTGGGCGGGATCTTTGTGCTGCCATGTCCTATGACCAGGAAGAGAAAATTACAGTAAGTATGAATAAATTGTCCTCTTTCCTGGCCATATCCATGGCAGCACAACAATGGGTAATACCCAAGCAGAACGAAGGGAGGGAAAAGAATACACGGACTCAATGTTGGATGCTGAAAGGACACTTTTACCAAACTTGTCCCATTGACAAGCTCTGACATCTATTTGATAATGCCGAATAAAAGGTGTTCACCGAAGACCATCTAGCTGCTCTGCAGATAAGCTCTGGAGATACTCTCGCTGCGGCTGCCCAAGAGGAGGAAAGGGACCTGGTCGAGTGAGCCTTTAGACCGTTCGGTACTGGAATGGTAAGCCTGAATGATAGAGACAATCCATCTGCTCACGGCCTCTTTAGAAGCTTGGCGACCTTTCCTAGCCCCATTCGGTATGATGAATAGCTGATCCGACGAACGCCAGCCAAGAGATCAGTCAATATAGATTCTTAAACATCTTACCAAATCCAGTGGAGAAGAACCTCCTTCTTGGGAATGTTCTTCTTGCGTCAGGGCAGGAAGCACTATGTCTTCATTAACATGAAATGCCGTGGTTACCTTAGGGCGAAATTCGTGAATGGTTCTTAGAATCACCCTGTCTCTGTGAAACACCATGAAAAGGCTCTTTGACTGATAAGGCACTGAGCTCCGAAACCCTTCTTCCTGATGCTAATGCCACCAGCAAAACGGTCTTGATGGTAAGATGAGGAGAGATGGACTCCAGGGGTTCGAAGGAAGCGGACTTGATGGCTTGTAATACCGGGGGTAGATCCCATGGGGGAGCAAATGGCTTGATCGGAGGTTTAATCTTGAGGACTGCAGCAAGAAACCTAGATACATCTGGGTTAAAGTCCCATTTGTGGTCAGTGAGAGCTGAAACAGCGGAGACATGTAACTTTAAGGTATTGTAGCTCAAACCCTTATCCAGACCTGTTTGTAGAAACTCCAAGATGTCTTTAATTGCAGGATGCTGTATGTTAACCTGCTTGGGAGAGGCCCAGGAAGAAAAAGCATACCAAATTCTATAGTAGGTAGAGGAAGTGGATCGCTGTAACAGGGTATCTGTGACTGCAACCGAGAAACCCTTCTCTAGAAGCCTTTCCCTTTCAACCTCCAGGCCTTCAGGTTGAGTGATGCTGGGTCTGGGTGTAGGATAGGACCCTGGTGCCGAAGAGAAGGAACTGCTGGAAGATCCCACGGAGGTTCCTGACAGAGGCTCAGAAGAAGAGAGATCCAAGGCCGGCGAGGCCAGTATGGGGCAAACAGGGTCATGAAAACAGGTTCCTCCCGAATCCATCTTAGTAGAGGAAGTATGAGGGGAGACGGAGGAAATGCATACCCCTTTGTGAACTTCCATTTGCATGATAGGGCATCCCTCTCCCGGGCCTGCGGTTCGGACCCCTCGAGAAGAATCCCTGGAGCTTGCTGTTGGTGGCCATGATGTCTGAGGAAGATCCCATTTCTTCACAATATCCTTGAAGACTTCGTCTGAGAGGCTCCACTCTCCTGGGTCTATTCTTACCCTGCTGAGGAAGTCTGCTACCGTATTCTGCACTCCTGGCAGATTAATCGCCACTAGCCCACAAGGTTCTTCTGTGCCAAAATCATCAGGGAAATCATCAACCTTACCATACTGCGACTTCGGTTACCTCCTTGATGACGGATATGTGCTACTACTGTAGCACTGTCCGTTCTCACCTTCACCCACTTGTGCTGTATTAAATGCTGAAAGTGTTTCAGAGCTCTGAAAACGCCAGAAGTTCCAGAAGGTTTGAGTGGGTCTCGTGTGCATGAAACTCCCACTTCCCCTGGGTGACCTTGTTCTGAAGGTAGGCTCCCCAACCCCAGTGACTGTCGTCTGTCGTTATAGTAATCCAGGGAATGTTCCCAAGGGAGAACCCTGAGAACAGAGCCTTCTTGTTCATCCACCACGTCAGTCTTAGATGGACCAGGGTGGAAATCCTGATGGGCTGGAGTAGGTTCTTCCCTCTGTATTGGGAAAGAAAATTCCTTTGGAGTGTTCTCATTCTCCATTGCGCCCATTTTGTCAAGTCTATGGTTGATGACATGGATCCTAGTAGGCTCATGACTTTCTCTGCCATGGCGACCTTGACTTGTATCTCCTTCATCTTCCTGATGAGCTTTACTCCTCTTTCTCTTGAGAGCTGAACTGTCCCCAGTGCAGTGTTGAACAAGGCTCCTAAATAAAGCATGGAATGTGAAGGAATAAGGTGACTCTTTTCTCCATTTATCTTCCAGCCGTGTTCCTGCAGATCTGTATGCAGATCTGTCCCTGTTGCTTGAGAGTGTACCTGTCCTCTGACAGCACCAGGATATCGTCCAGATAATGAAAAATGGCAATTCCCCGCTTTCTTAATTCTGCGACCAGGATCTTTGAGAAAGTGCGAGGAGCCATACTGAGGCCAAAGGGAAGGGTTCGGAACTGGAAGTGCCCTCCTTCTACTGCGAATCTCAGATATCTTTGATGCAGTTGAGTGATCGGAACATGGAAGTAAGCATCTTGCAGATCTACACAGATATCAGCCATTGCCCTGGGAAGACTGCTTTGATTATGGACTGAAGCGACTCCATTTTGAATCTTCTTACGTTCAATCGCTTGTTGAGAGTGTGAAGATCTAGAATGGGTCTCCATGCTCCTGAGGACTTTTTTGTGAGGAATAGGTGAGAATAAAACCTGTGTGTTCTTTCCTCCTTTGGAACCTCCATAATGACGCCTTCTTCATGTAGGGAAGAAAAAACTCCAGAAGAGCCAATCTCTGGTCGCTGTCTCCCGGCCATCTTGTAATTTGAAAACTGCGACGAGGTGGGGCATCTCTGAATTCCAGAAGATATCCTCTTTTGATGATGTCCAGCACCCACTTGTCTTTGGTAGAAGACTCCCATCTCTTTTGGAATAGGAGGCGGCGTGCTCCTACCCCTCAAGGCTGGGAGATCAACCGGTCATAAAGCTCTCGTGTTCCTGCTGAATGCAGAACCTCTGGATCTTCCTCCCCTGACTGAAGACTGTCCCCCTCTCCAAGGCTGGGATCTTCTGTATTCTCTACCTGGTCTGTAGGATTTGAAGTCCCGAAAGGAAGATTGATCGGAAGGTCTTTTGGGTCGAAAAGATCTCTTTGGCCTACGATCTTGAGGTAAAAAAAGCATTCTTGCCATCTGCCGCTTTCTTATTGCAATCATCCAGGTTCTTCCCAAAGAGCATGTCTCCATAGAATGGTAAAGAGCAGAGGGTATTTTTAGATGAAGCATCTGCTGACCAGGATCTGAGCTACAAAGCCCTTCTAGCTGAGATGGAAAATGCCATGTTCCTGGCCACTCCTTTGACCATATCCACTGAGGATTCAGTAGTGAAATCTACGGCCAGCTTAATGTCTTGTAGATTGCCCATGAGGTTAGATATGCTTCTGCCCTCTTTGATATCCTCCTCCAAGCCTTCCAGCCAGATCTTCAAAGCTCTGGAGACCGAGGTAAGGGCTACCGTGGGGTGGAGGCCTGTGCCTGCTGCCACATAGGCCCTGGACAGGTTAGAGTCCATCTTTTTATCCATGGAGTCTCAGAGAGCCAGCATTATCTACTGGCAATGTGGTGCTCTTGGCCAGTCTTACCACCGCTGCATCCACTTTAGGGGCTGATTCCCAGTGGCCTGCGTCCTTTTTGTCAAAAGGGTAAAGGCGAGAAATTCTCCCCTGATTGGGAAGTTTCCTCTCTGTTTTGGACCATTCTTCCATAATGATGCCATTAATCGCCTCATGAACCGGGAAAGTAACCCTCTTTTTGAGGTCAGAAAAGTATCGACTGGATGTAGAAGGCTCTTCTCTTGAAGGTTCCTTCATGCTCAGAGACTTGCGGACACTGGAAATTAAGTGATCCACTTCGGTTGGGTCCAAAGTGTCTCTTTAATGCCTTGGGATACAGCATTTTGAATAATTTGCATCAAATCCGGGGTGGATGATGCGGGACATCCTGCGGCCTGTATGCAATCTGAGCATAGGCGCTTCCCCTCCAGGGCCCTCTTGTCACATGCTTCACATAGGGACCTTACAGGAGACTTTCCTTTGGATGTTCCTGTTGTATTTTTCCCTTTAGTACTACTATAATAAGGGAAAAATATTAGCTAGCACTCTTTTGTTTAGAAGAAAAATTGAAGAAAAAAAATATAGGAAATGGCTTGCCCCTGAGATTTAGATAGTGACCTTTTACTTTGAACTGATGAGTCTGAATCCATGATCTCAGATGAAGTCATCTATAAAAGTTAAGCCCATAAAATACTAGAAGGCTTAAAAATAAGGTTAAAAACACATCAACTGAATAAATAACAAAAAACAGACCAACTGTGCCTTTAAAAGACTTTCCTTCAGTCTGCACCACAAAACTGGGTGAAGACCGCACTGTACCGCTTTAAGTTAGCAGAGACTGTGTAGGAAAGTTAAATTTCAGTATTGGCGCTTTAAAAAGGGCGCCCAAACTACTGAATGATGTTATCGGCACTGCGACGTACCGCGCATGCGCAAGCGGCACTTCCGCGCATGCGCGAAACGGCATGACGCGAATGCACTGTTCGTGCATGCGCAATGGCAAAAATCTGACGCCAAGCCAGCAAAGAGACCCCAGGTCTCCCAACCTCAGCAGACCGCCAGAAATGTGGCGAAAATGCCGCGAATAGGGACAGGGGAACCCTAGCTCATCAGGGAAGCCCTGTACTCCCCCAGAAGGGAGAATAAACACCGGGCAGATAACTGCTGCATTAAGAGGAGGAATGCCTCCCAATCAAAGAAGGCAGGATTAACCAGGAAAATGAAGATAGAAGGGGGTATATGAATACAGTTTATGCCTTGCCCATACCTGCTACCCCTAGGGTCACTGCAGTCAGTAGGGTAGTGGCTCCTTATGCTTGCTGCCACTAGGGTCACTGCAAGGGGGTTCTCCAGGGTGACACCTTTGCACAGGGCCATATACTGGAGCTTCCCAAGGAAGAGAAGCTTAACTCCCCTGGGGCCAAGGGTAAAAACCCTTAAAGTAAGCCATAAAAAAAAAATAAAAAAAAAAAAATCGTTGTCAGTCTGAAAAGACTAATCTGTCCTAGAGATAGGACAGGAACAAAAAGACTGAGGGTAGGAGGGGTACTTATACCCGTGTTTTAATTAGTTCCTGTTTAACTAGGGATGGGGAGGAGCTACCCATTGTTGTGCTGCCATGGATATGGCCAGGAAATTAAAAAAAAAAAATTATATATATATATATATATACACACACACACATTTTCATTCTATACAAGTGTGGGAGGGAGTGAGGGTGGGCAGGCAGACACTTGCTTGCCCTTGCAGACTCTGAAGACGGATGTAATTTATGCACAGAATTTCATGTAATTTCGGTAGAGAGAGTTCAGGGCTGCCCAAGTCAGAAGAACTGTGGGTGCAACTTGCCCCAGCACACAGTCTTTCTGTATGTGAAGTGTTTCAAGCTGAAACACTGCATATTTAGACTCCAACCACCATGACCACTTCAAAAAAAAAAAAAGAAGAAAAACAAAGAAATAAATCAATAGTGGTCATTGTGGCTGAAATAACCCTTGAAGATGACAGTCAAACCCTGGGTGTCTGAGCCAGGACCTTCGGATTTTAAAATATATCCTGAAAAGCTGAAGGGTTAATTTTGTACAAACTTACAACACAATATTATACAAACTTCCCATAAGCTGAATGCTTAGCTATTTTATATATTTTCCCCCACTAGTTGTCACCAGCAGCAAGGTTTCAAGAATAGGTATCCAATTATCAAGTGCTGCATTCTCCTCCGTACTTAATTTGTTTGTACATCCAACATGGCACTAGGGGTATGATAAATATATACTGGGTTATTTAATAAAGTTAGAAGTCAAGGTGAATTCAAGCTGAATTTCAAATTTAAGTCCAAACAAAGCATAGTTGACATAAAGCTTGGCTTTTCTTACCTTAAATTTGAATTTACCTTTAATGTTCTATTTAGTAAATAACCCTGATAGACATAAGGCAGTGGGTTTTGTTTTTTTGGCGGGGAGGAACGGGGGGGGGGAAGGGAGGATGAGGAAAACAATAGTGCAATAAATGTCAGTGTTATAGATATGAGATCTATTCCAAAATAGAAGACTTGACAACCAGTTGAATAGAGAGAATATAGTTCCTTTAAATATCTTAGATTACGATATTTATTCAATATAATCAAACCATTTTTAGGGAATTTCAAACGTCAGTGATTATACTCAAGGTAAAGTGGACATTTAAAAAAAAAAAAATTAAATACATTTTTTTTAATAATATATATATATATATTTTTTTTTTTAAGGAGGTTTATAAACAGATATCCCACCTCATTAGCCAAGATTCAGCATTGAGCAAATACACCTTCGGAATATATTTATACACAGATGCATACTTAAACAAGAATTAGTGGTTGTGTGCAGGGATATTCCACATAAAATATGGATACAGAAACATAATTCTTCAAATCAAAATTGTTAAAGCAATCAGTTTCAGGGAATCTTTGGATGTTCAGTGGAGTTGGCCAGCTGGAGTCACCAGTTAAAGGTCAGAGAATCTTCAGTGGGGGAGTGGTAGATTAAAAGGGTTGAAAAGTAGTCTTTATGTTGGTATGACTTTAGTGGCAAGAAGAATGATGAGAAGGAGAATGATTCCAACCACAATACAAATGATCACGATCATCTTCACATTCTTCCACCAGTACTTTCGTGAAACTTTTTGAGATGTTGTCTTAAAATGCTCTGACTAAAAAGAGGAAACAAAATTAGATGTGTAAAATAAAAAGATATACAAGAAAAAAAAATATATATCAAGTATACAGATAAAGGAATCAAGACTAGGGTTAGTAGCATACCAAACACCCCCCTTCATGTAAGGAGACAAATGGTTTAAATTCTTACCCGGGGTCCATTCGGTGTCACTGCCCACCTCCTATGCATCTCAGTGAGAGCCTTTTTGCGTCTGCTCATCCTTTAGCTCTCCTGAGTAAATCCATGCACTGCCTGACTTGGCTCAGTGAAGAGTGCTTCCATCTCACACTGCTATAGAGGTGGCAGGAAGCAGCACCGAGGTAAGAAATCAAACTGTTCCTAAACAGTTTTACTCCTTTATTTAAAAAGGTGCAAGGGCAGTTTTGTAGTGCCACCCTGTAGTGGTTATGGTGCTCGAAGTGTTCCTTTAATGTATTATGAAGTAGTATGGAGGCAGAATGCAAAAGAAAAATTTAGGGACGGGGTGTGTATATGTTTAGGCATACTTACACTGGCTTCCAAGTCCTCAGTTTTATTTCTCAGTTGGTCCAAGTTCTCACCTCGAGCCAGAATTCGATCCACATTTTGAGACATTATGTTCTTTACACCCTCCACCTCACTTTGCAGGTCCCTTACACGGTCACCGCCACCCACAGTGGAGGGCTCCCCCATTTCCTGAAGACAAAACAAGATGGTAAATTAGGAATTCCAAAAGACATAGATGGTGACTTTGTATAGAGGAACAATATGACATAAAGTAACACAAATCATCCTGTCTGCCTGTCAAATTGACCTTAGAATTTGGTTTGAAGTATTCGATCTACATTTTGGGACATTATGTTCTTTACACCCTCCACCTCACTTTGCAGGTCCCTCACACGGTTTTTACATTTCTGCGGTGTGTGTGTTTAGCTGTATTTTCCGCTTACTCATTTACTGTACCCACACCAGTAACCCATTAGAACGTTGACACCCTACCCCTTAAGTGCGAAACTGCAAGGGAAGTCATTAATGCTTCCCCCGCAGGGCCGCCATTTCATATAACCAAACACATGGCAAAAAAAAAAAAAAAAGAGTGTCGCCCAGCTTGTCTCACAAACGTGGGCAGCGGTACTTGGTAAGCGACTGCCTGGAACTCTTCATATTTTATACTGTTATTCTCGCCATTAAATGGTCTTTCTAAAGAAACCATTATTTTCATCATATAATTTACCCCAAAATGAAGTGATAAAATATGAAGGAAAAAAAACACTTTTTCAAACTTTGACTCCCCAAATCTGTTATGCATATACAACCGCCAAAAAAATACAGTGCTAAATAGTTTCTAAATTTTTGTCCTGAGTTTAGAAATACCCAATGTTAACATGTTCTTAGCTTTTTTTGGAAAGTTATAGGGCAATAAGTACAAGTAGCATTTCCAAACCTTTTTTTTCAAAATTGTAACACTGATATCTGTCATGAATCCCTAAATAACCCTTCACATGTATATATTTGTTTGAAAAACAAGACAACCCAAGCTATTAAACTTGGGGTATTCTGACTCTTTTCATGCAACCATTTTATCACCAATCTATGCCAAATTTAAAAAAAAAAAATTAGAAATCTGTGCTTTTTTGACACACATAGCAATTTAAGAATACATGTACTGAGAACTTTAAGGGTTACTGGCAAAGAACACCCCAATATGCGTTCAGCAACATCTCCAGAGTACAGTGATACCACCCATGTATAGGTGTGTTGGGTTCTCTGGGGGCTAAAAAGACTTTATTTGGAGGGTGTGCATTTCAGTTTTCCAACTTGGAATTTTCACAGCTGGTCATCATGCACCCATGTCCTATTTGGGACATTTTTGAAGCCGGCCAATGTATTTTACCCCCATCAAACCATATATTTTTGAAAAGTAGACAACCTAGGCTATTTAAAATGGTGGTATTTAAACACTATCCATGCACTAATTATACCATCAGTCTTTGTCAACCTTTTGGGTAGGAATGTTGTGTTTTATCCCTACACACATTGTAATTTAGGCATGGATTCCCAGCTCCTGTTATGCATTGCTGCCAAAAAACACCCCAATATGTGTTCAGCAACATCTCGAGTACAGTGATACCACCAATGTACAGACACAGGAATGAAAATTAACCCCATCATGGCATACCAGTTGTAAAAGTAGACAACCATTTGTAAAAGTATTCAAAATGGGGTATGTCCAGTCTTTTTTTTTTTAGTAGTTGGTCACAAACCCTGGCCAAAATTAGCATCTATATTTTTTTGACATTTTGCACGCGATCACGATCTCTTCCATCGCTCAAATTAGCCACAGACGTATGAGGTACGTTCGTAAGGGGTTAAAGGGATACTATAGTCACCAAAACAACTTAAGCTGAATCAATGTTGATGTACAGATTATTGAGCAGTGAGACAGCAGGGGCATGATCTGCCATTCAGGAGTTAAATCACTTTGTTTATGCAGCCCTAGCCACACCTCTCTGCATGTTACTTGCACAACCTTCCTAAACACTTCATTTAAAGTGAGACCTAATGTTTACTCTTTATTGCACAGTTAAATTTAGAAATTCTAATCTTCTGCTCAGTTAATAGTTTGCTAGACCTTTCAGCACCCTCCTATGTCTGATTAAAGTGAAATATACAGAGCAGGAGACAAAAAAGGTCTAAAACAAGTTTGCAACTGATTGAAAGTGAAACCATTTTGTTTTCATGAAGAGTGTGTGAATCAGTCAGAGGAGGTGTGGCTAGAGCTTCATAAAACAGAAAGAAAAACGTTATTCAACTTCTAAATGGAAAAGAATTGAACAGCAAGACTGCAGGGGCATGGTCCATACCCAAAAACTGCTTAATTAAGCTTAAGTTGCTTTGATTCCTATAGTGTCCCTTTAAGTTTACTCTGGTATGTTTCATAGACAAGGCAGGGTTTAAAAATGAGAGTCCCTTTGTACCAAAACCATTGCATTAAGTTGTTTTGGTTCTGAGTGTCCCCTTAAAGGAGCACTATAGTGCCAGGAAAACAAACTAGTTTTCCTGGCACTATAGGGTCATTAGGTCCACCCCACCCTCAGGGTCCCGCTCCAGCTGGGCTGAAGAGGTTAAAACCCCTTCAGCCACTTACCTTTCTCCAGCGCCGGGCTCCCTCTGTGCTGGGGAACTCGCCACCCCCTGCCGACGTCAGATCCAAATGCGCATGCGCGTACATTCAAACAGCCCATAGGAAAGCATTACTCAATGCTTTCCTATGGACGTCCAGCGTCTTTTCACTGATTTTCACAGTGAGAATCGCGGAAGCGCCTCTAGCGGCTGTCAGTGAGACAGCCACTAGAGGCTGGATTAACCCTCAGTGAAACAATTTCTCTGAAACTATGTTTTCAGCTGCAGGGTTAAAACTAGAGGGACCTGGCACCCAGACCACTTCATTGAGCTGAAGTGGTCTGGGTGCCTATAGTGGTTCTTTAAGTGCTGTATAAATCTAGTAGCTTTTAAGTAAAAAGTCAATGAATATCTCGCATTGGTCAACTCTCACTAATTACAAATGTAGTAAATATTGACACAAGTTTATTCACAAAATGATGAAACTGAAAAACAAAATTGCAATTTAAAAATTTTTCCCCACCCCTTCCTGTCAAGGCGCACTTTGACAGACGCACACTCTCATATACACTGACAAACAATGACACACACACACACACTTCCCCCAACACTCACAAATTTTTATTATTGTTTTTTATTATTGTAAATCCACCCAGCCTCCCTGGGAGAGCCAAGGTGGATTACTTACCTGTCCAGTAGGGCTGCTGGGCAGGCAGGCAGGGGGCGGACAGGCTGAGTAGGCGTCATAAGTGATGCTGGGAGCCGGAGAGAGCTGAGCAGGAAGAGCTCAGGTGAACGTGCTCCCTCGCTACCAACCTTGGGGGGGGGGGATGGAGCGCAAAATTGGCGCCAGCTCAAGCGATCCATGACACGAGGCAATCAAGGGATCTGCCTGGCTGTTTGCAGGGGGCAGCTTTTTTTGCCGCCCCCCAAAGTGCCGCCCAAGGCAGATGCCTTGTTTGTCTCGCGGAAGACATCTCCCTGGGTAGAATGATTTGATTTGGGAAACTGGTGTATAGGTGATAAAATAAGGTGATTTTAGAAGTGATAAAATAAAGACCAAAAAAAATAAAAACTACAGCAAGCTGTTAGTTGCAAGTTATAGTGCTTTGAGGGCTCATTAAAGTGAGAAACAGGATTTTAGTGTTTTTGGTGTTTGAAATTTACTGTATTAAGATAAATTTAAAAAAAAGGTATAGGAAACAAGATGTAAAAAAAAAAAATGCAAAAATGAGGAAGCTGTTTGGCAAGTGTGAGAGTTCGTTGAGAATGTGACGATGTTTTGTCTGATTAGAAATGTGAAATTCAACAGAAACTATGCAAGCTTCAAGCTTCTTACATCTTAAAATAAAGTGGAGTATAAAAGAGCAATGTCAATACAAAATTTGAAAATACATAAAATGTCCAAACAATGAAGAATTTGAAATTTAGAAACTATTTGTATAACATTTTAGTTTAATAAAATAGAACTTCAAAGTCGCCCTTTAAAGCAGTTCTATGAAATTCCAACACAGTCAACATGAGTGTTACACAGTTCAATATATTGAAAAATGACAGCTGCTTTATGTGGGAAAGTTTCCAGCCCCATAACCACTAAAGCACGATGTAGTGGGCATGGAGCTCCCTCCATAGTAAGAAGTTAAATAATTTAGTAATGGTTTGCATTCTTACGCCTCTCAGCCTTCAGGAGAGCCAGAAGTGCCAGATTAGGAGATTTTTAACTCTCCTGAGCTAATTCCACCAGCGCATGGCCAGCTCATTAGAGGAGTGTGTGTGATCATGCTCCGAAACTGGATTAATGCCTGAGCCGCCAGTGTAACGGAGCTCGGTCCTCAGCCAGAGTATCTCCATTAATATCCCTCCTTTCCCAGTACACCTTCAATGCTTATAGCAGCTCACCCAAACATCAGCCTAGATCAGATGAAGAGGAAAACAAGTGTTATCCCCGAGTGCCCAGTCTGTTAAAATAGCTACGTAATATGTCGTATGTGGTCCATGCTACCTCCACTTAAAAAGTTTCAGCAGGCTGTTTTAACGTTTATATCCGCTCAGAGTTTTCAAGTTGGTCCTGGCCAGGCTCATGGAACCTTCACAACCAATCAGTCCGTTGAAGTCTAGTCTGGGCAGGATAGCATAGGTTTCCCGGGCACCCTGTGCTCCTAATAGGCACAGGGTGACCAATGCACTCCAAGCATCATAACCACTACACGGCACTGTAGTGCTTATGGTGTTATGGTGCCAGGAGTGTTCCTTTAATTTATGACAAACGTGACTGGTAATTTTGATGGGGTCATACTATGGATAACAGGAGCTCTACTCTAGTGATCAGTAAGACAGCCAGTCTGACACACAAACACTCTTAACACCCTACACGTTAGCTATGGGATGTGCCATTTTATCACTGAGAAAAAAATAAATTAAAAAAAAACAGATTACTCGATTTAGATGCCATGGCTGACATGTAAATAAAGTTAACCCCTGCAGTGTCCTGCTTGCTGGACTAAAGGAATTCCCAAGCATTTCTCTGTAGGAGCCCAAGCACGCTGTAGTTAGTCATATTTTAATGCAGTTTAATATTGCTAGGGAATATTATTTTTTTAATTCTCTTTATTTTTGAGGCATACGAATTTACAGTATGAGCGTATATACGTACAGTACATGAGAAACATGATTGTAACAGTAATATCGGACTTAATTTTCAGACATGCAGTCTAGCCTCTTTTTATATGAGAATTAATTACAAGACTAACATAGCGTATGTGGTATAGTTATTTAGTTAGGGAATATTTTATTTGTTTCAGATAAAGATGTATAAATAACCAACTTCCATCATTTTCAGCCTGTTTCTACTATACTTGGAAGAAGTTACAACAGTGTCCCAAGAACTCAGTACATGTTAAATGTGCCGTTAGTATCGGCATTCACATTTAACTCCATATATTTTGATTTGCCCTGTGAATTTGCTAAACATATCTTTTGCACACAAGGCAATAAAAATAAAATAGACACCAAATCAGAGAGACTAATAATATTGAAGGTGTTTTCCAGATGTGGGTGGAACCTGCATGAATTCCATCTCTGGCTTTGTAGATGCTAAAGCTGCTTAAGTCACAAGCTGTCAAACTTGTTTGACAAATACTTTGAGAGTGCACAGTCACAGAGCATTTACTGCACATCTATAGATAATTCATTGATTAAATGTACTGCATTCGCATCCCGAACTGGCCTGCGCACCCTGTCTTCGGTCCCTGTGTCAGGGCCCATGCGACCAATCAGAGAAAGAGCGCTCGTTCAAACAGTGTTTTGCACCCTTTCTTTTGACTGGGCGGCGAAACCCCTCCCCGAGTGCCGATTGGCTTTGCGCCTTTCAGCGGATTGGTGCAATCGAGTTTCGCACCCGTTCTTCTGATTGGGCAGCGAAACCCTTCTCCTCCCTAAGTGTTTTTTGGCGCAAGTTGGTTTTGTGCCTTTGTGCAGATTGGCTATTGCTTGGTTTGGGCGCGAAGTTTGAATTCACCTGATCAAACTAAGCGACGCTATGGAACTGATTCTGGGGATATACAGAGCCTCGAGCCCCAGACTTTAGACGCTGGTATCTCGGACTCCGTACACCCGATAGCCCTGCTATTTGCAGGGCTCCCAGATGGGACTCTGGGTTATCTAATGAATTATATTTTACCTGTGTGACCCTTCCCTGCGCGCTGAGCCCTAAAGTTTACCCCCCTGTATGTAATGTCTTAAGGTGTAACCCTGTGTGCTGTTACATAGTTACATAGCTGAAAAAAGACTTCGTCCATCAAGTTCAGCCTTCCCCACATTTGTTTTTTGCTGTTGATCAAAAAGAAGGCAAAAAAAAAAAAAACCCAGTTTGAAGCACAATTTTGCAACAAGCTAGGAAAGAAAATTCCTTCTTAACCCCAGAATGGCAGTCAGATTTATCCTTGGATCAAGCAGTTATTACCCTACATTGAAAGATTATATCCTTGAATATTCTGTTTTTTGCAAGTATGCATCTAGTAGCTGTTTGAACATCTGTATGGACTCTGATAAAACCACTTCTTCAGGCAGAGAATTCCACATCCTTATTGTGATTTATAAAGAGGCAAAATTATATTCTCGTCCAGAGAATGAATGCCCTTTTTCATGCATGAAAATACCTTACTGGCCTTGGCCACTGCTGATTGACATTGCATATTGTTGCATAGTTTTTTGTCTATAACAATTCCCAAGTCCTTTTCGTGTGTTGTTATCCCTAATTCGCTTCCATTAAGGGTATATGTTGCTTGTGTATTCTTTATAAAGAGAAGTCCGTGCTTAAAACCTTTCAAAACTGTGTGTCTTGTTATTGGAGGGAAGATTTAACCCCTGTGTCTGCTGTTCCAGCTTGCAGGGAATGCAACGGAGAAACGTCCTTGTAAAGACTAAGAGCTTCCAGGGCTGAGTGTCATCCCTGCCTGGGAGCGCATAGAGCCAAGTCCCCTAATCGTGTAAGAATTCCTGATCGGCTGAAGGAAGAGAACTAGCGGGACCAACCGGTCGGCTTACCAAGGCGTCCCTTTACACTGGTGGCAAGCAGCTGTATCATACTTCCCAGCCGAAAGGAACGAGCATGGCGCCCCAGCTACACGGAAGCAGAGTTGGACCAGAGGCTGAAGATGTATTTGACTTTCTTTGGGCCCAACCCCGCTGAGAAATACATACAGCAAATGAGGAAACTAGCAACAGAGACAACCGGTCTCGTTCCCCAGCAAAGCCTCTTATTTTATCCATTGATCAATGCCCTTTCTCAACAAGTGTGGGATAAGCTCAATGGATATTTGAATTGGCATAAATTACTTTCATCAGATAATGAATGGAACTCCTGCCCCAGCTGATGGCTCTGGACCAACCCACCTACTAGCTAAATGATGGCTCTAATGAGTTTAGTGAAAACAGTTAATTGTTAATATTAAACAGGGAAATTCACCCCCAATTCAGATTATAGTGAATAAACCTGCAAGCCTCTTAATTTTAGGATTTACAACCTTAACTATGTATTAAGTTACAACAAATTAATCCAGTCAGAGCAGTAATGTCCTGGCAATACTTGTACATAAAACCCCCAAAAAACTTTGTAAAGCTAACATTTTATCTAATTTGACAATATGTAATTCTCAGACTGGGTCACTAAACGTTTATGACAGTGGCGTGCCAAATGTTTTGGAATCAAGATCACAATTATCTGACAGATACACACAGCTGTACAACTGATTTAAGGGGACACACATTTCATTTCATCTCATTGAAGTTGTTCTAAGGTCTGTAGTCACAGGGCCTTTCCTCAGTTTAGGGTTAAACAATTTTCAAATGGTTTAAACACTGAATGAGGATTTTGCGCAGCTTGTAGCATGAACTTCACTGGATTTATAACTGAAGCAGAGATTACACTCCATACCAATTTATACCATCATTGTTTCCTCCCAGCCTCTCACTGGCACCCATCACGGCTTGGGCCAAAGTGGAAGCACTAGCCCGAGCATCAGAGAGGCCGTGCTCAGTTTAACATGGAACAAAGGGATTGCTCGAGGGACTCCAGTCACTAAAACCACTCCAATCATATGTAGCATTTAAAGTGCTGGAAGTCCCCTGGTAAATCGTCAAACAGTTTTGAACTTAAATGATCACTCAAGGGTCAAGAAAACAAAACCTATATTTCTGACCATACAGTGTTAAAAATACCTTCTGGCCCCCCTGCCCCTCCTAAATATAGTAAATTCTTACTTGCATTGCAGTCTGCTGCTGCTGGCTCCACCCCTGATCTGGCTGCCATCATCAGAAGTTTTATTCAAAGCCCATTACAATGCTTTCACATAGGAAAGCATTGTATTGGCTGAGACTGTCAAGGAGGCAGATAAGGGGCAGAGCCAGCACAAGTCTAACACAGCCCTGGCCAATCAGCATCTCCTCATAGAGATGCACTGAATCAGTGTATGTTTAAGAGGAAAGTTCAGTGTCTCCATGCAGAGGGTGGAGACACTGAATGGCAGTGCTGCAGACTGTGCAGCACTGACCAAGGAAGCACCTCTAGCAGCCATCTGACGTGTGGCCAGTGGAGGTATCCCTAGGTTGTACTGTTAAAAGCCTGTAGGGAATGATTATACTCACCAGAACAAATACAATAAGCTATCACTAAAGAAGAACAGTTTGAATATGCAACTGTCAGATGGCACCAGAGGACATCTGACACCTTAATCACAAGAGCAAATTGTAAAGGTTATGGCGATTACACAACCTCTTTAATCTTTACCTTATCACACTTGTGGTGAAGGAACAGCAGAAGGCTTTTATTGCAGGCACATTTTATTTCCAGGACTTAAATATCTACAATGTATAAAAAAGGCATGCAAAACAAATTAAGGAAAAAAAAAAAAGGAAAAGATACTCCCATGACCGTTCTTTCATTTTTATTATGCTCAAGCTAAAAAGAGGACACAAAACATTTAGAACTCACATACTTCTGGCAAGCTATTTTAGAAGCACATACTCCTCTCCACAGTGACGCATACACTAAACCCACACCCGGATATCTCTCATAAACAGGTTATTCAGTAATAATAGCTTTGTTCGTCTGATAATGATGAGGCACTAGCCGGACAACCAGGAGACAGTGCACACAGTGTGAGAACAGACAAAACATTAGAAAGGTAGTGGTCAGGCTTCTACAAAGAGAACGTGAATAAAAAGGCAGCACTATATGCTGCAGATGGAGAAAAGTGAAGGAAACCCAAGATTGGTGATTCTGGAGTGTAAATACAAAAGTGCCTGTGAACAACTCACATACAAAGCGCACGCTTAAGTGTGAACAGTTGAGAATTCAAAGTGAATTTGAAATTTTAGCCCAAAATAGAAAACACACACGTAACATACCTGGAGAATTATTCCCCACAGCTTGCCTGTTCTTTCTTAAAAAATTTTTTAATTCACTTTAGATTCAACAAATCACACAGCGATGGTAGATGTACTCAACCTGATAATCCATTAACCAGTTACCAGACTAACAGAAATAAGTTTACATTTGGCAGACCTAGCATCTGAAAATGACAAAGTAAGTGGTTTTGGAACAGCAGGGTATAATGCTAGCAGCTTGAAGGACATTTGATTCTTAAGCAGAGACTTAAAAAAAATAAAAAATAAAACCCTTACAGCAAGCTGTACTAGAGAAAACCTACTAACCACCACTGCTATCTTGCTATCTGTTCTGGCAGTTAAAGGGTTGTATGTATTGTATGTCATTGTCAAAAGTGACATCACCACAGAGTACACACCTAATCTGTGTCCTGGAAAGTCTACACTGTTGTCATTATCACTTAAGGAAAAGTTAACACCTACTCTGCCACTATAGCTAACCTGTAGATAGTGGCTTTGATAAACTGATACATACTAAAAAAAAAAAAGTGCTTTAATTGGCCGTCATTCCTTAGTGTCCCACAGTATAAAGGAATCGATCTACTTATCACAGTAGACTAAAAGAGAATTGTGATATATTGCCATATTAAGCAAATGGGGCTAAAAACATACAATTCAAAGTTTGTTAAACCCAGGAGCATTTTTAAAATGGCAACAAGTGCTCCTTTCTTTTCACATGGACCTAGATGGATGTCAAGCAGAATGATGTGTTAATATTTAGAAAGACTGAAGTCTGACTCATAGATTTTGCAATTATTTATCAACCGACTTGTTTTTGGAACCTTACACTGGCCATTCTCTGATGTCAACCACCATGACTTGTACACCAGTGAAGTGGTGCATGTACCAATCTTGCCATCACTCTGTCAGGCACATTTACTAGCCCTAAACACCATATTTGCCAAACCAATTAATCTTCAGGAGAACCCCCATCAGCTGATTGGGTATACACTGGCACCCTTGGATAGGATCTCCACCAGGCTCAGTGCTATCTTGGCAACCTCCTGTCCTCTGCCCCAACCCTGGTGAGCCACATTTGGAAGCTATAAACCCAATATCATATAAAAGGCACACTTCCCAGACTGTTAGCCCATCTTTGTGTGACTGGCTATCACAATCCAAAACCTTGACAATCGCCAGAATCCAACCCCATGATTTGCACACTTGCCACAGTGGCCAACTCTCCATCTTGATTGGTTAATAAACCGCCCCATAACTAGCCACCCTACAGAAGACATCCTTGCCACACCAAGACACTATCCCAAGACTGAATCACTAACTGCATAGTTACTCTCACAGTGTACGTGTAACAATAAAATGAAAGACAAATGGCTGCGTGACGTAATCTGAAGCAAACAGTCCGTTCCAAAGTCCAACAAGAACAAAGCTCCAACTAGTGCTGTTAAATCTGTTGTGGCGTTTCTCAGAATTATGCTCAGTGTTCTGATCCCACATTCGGTGTTCTCTTACCCTCTCCATCGGGTGGTGGTAAGGGGGGAGGCATAGAACATACGCCCCAAATAGTTGCACCTCCAACCCGATTTCCTCTTAACCTATTTATTGCTCCAAGTAAGACATTGCTGACCCAATGATAATAGTAACACCTTTACCCCATCCCCCAGTGCTTCACTCTACGTCTGAACCACTTACTCGGTTATCCTTCCCAAAAAGTTATCGACTATTCTTTTTGATGAAGTTATTTAATTCACAAATACTTTTCTATACTCCCTCGGCCATTCAACACCCACAAGGCAAGGCAGTATAAGTTTAATGCTTACCGATCTCCTATCCATGGCTGGCCCTCTCGCAGAGCAGTCTCAGAAGGTTCTGTAGAGAGCAGTGTCTTCCTGTTATTATGAAAGCAGACCTTCCTGTATCCCTCCCTCCTAGATGTAGTTACTTGCTGGCTGCATATCCCCCTCCCCACCAGGGAGTGGCCTAAAGTGCTCACCTTTTCACAGTCACCTGAGCTTCTAGGGAAATAAACAGGCATTAACAAACCAGGAACTATATTATTTATTTTTTACCTATAGATACATATATAGTGATTATGTATTTTATATTCACAATGTGCATCCATTTAGTTGGGGCACCACTATGTTTGTCATTGGTAAAATTCATAATTGTAGATTATGCTAACGTAGTGTACTAATAATCTTAATTTTAGTAATGATAGGAGGCGAGTATTTTGCATTGACTTTCTTTACTTAAAGGACCACTCTAGGCACCCAGACCACTTCAGCTTAATGAAGTGGTCTGGGTGCCAGGTCCAGCTAGGGTTAACCCATTTTTTCATAAACATAGCAGTTTCAGAGAAACAGTGAGGGCACGCCAGCGTGACCGGCTGAATGCACGCGCAGCTCTTGCCGCGCGTGCGCATTCAGCCGACGGGGAGGAGAAGAGGAGGATCGGAGGAGGAGAGCTCTCCTCCCAGCGCTGGAAAAAGGTAAGTTTTAACCCCTTTCCAGAGCCGGGTGGGAGGGGGACCCTGAGGGTAGGGGCACCCTCAGGGCATTATAGTGCCAGGAAAACGAGTATGTTTTCCTGGCACTATAGTGGTCCTTTAAAACTCCAGCAGCAACAAGTCAATCAAACTTTTAAACCAATCGGAAAACAACAGTCATGACAGATATAAGGTAGGACAGCCCCCAATTCTACCTCTTTCTTTGGTATGAATGGATATAGTCCCTTTAAATGGAAATATAAAACTGTAGAAACTTGAACGTCCTGGCAACTCCAAACTGCAACCAATGTAAGAGGGAAGTATGTTCCACTTGTAGTTGATGGAAGTATTCATACTGAAAAGAAGAAATAAGTGAAAGGTATTGGTAGTGACTGGGATTCCATATCTCACACTTGTCCATAACTACATCTTATAGTTTTTATAAATTTACTACTATGAGAAGTCAAATTAAAGTTTCTTCAAGACATAAAAACATCATAAATATTCAATCAAATCAAATCCCCCAGAGTTGTCATTAATTACATATTAGAGGAAACTAGAAGCCATAGTAGAAGGTAGTACATAGATAAGAGTAGAATAAAATATATATAGAAAAAGGGAGGGAAAAACAACAAAAAGGGGGGTGGGGAGGGGGATACTCGCCTCCTGTCAATCTAGATTATTAGTACACTATGTTAGCATAATCTATAATTTTACCACATGACAGGAAGCTTCATATTTTGCATTTTTAATGCTTTTCGAGTAGAGAAAAGGAAGCGTGAAGAGTAGGATGGAAGTAAAAAATCCAAAAGGTCTCTTCCCGAGACTAGTCTGCCGAGTGCATGATGTCTGAGAGGGACGCTATGGTAAAAAAAGCCTGCGTTGCCACTGAGCCAAATGAGCGCCGAAACAGAATTCGACGTCCGCCAACATCAGGAGCCAATGAACCCATATAACCAGAGTGGTAGTTGAGACTGGTTTGTGTGGTTTGGTGCAGGGCCGGACTGGGGATACAAAGCAGCCCTGGAAAAAAATCTATGCCAGACCCGCAGCACAGTGTGGGGGGAAAAAAAGGTGAGTAAAAACACTATTTTTAAACACATACACCATGACAGACACAGACACACATATACCATGACAGATGACAGACACACACACCCTATGACACACACACATACCATGACAGACAGACAGATACCATGACAGACACACACCTTGACAGACACTCACATACCATGACAGACACACACACACCTTCACAGACATGACAGACTCACACATACCGTGACAGACACACACACACCTTGACAGACACACACACACACCATGACACAGACAGACACACACACCATGACACAGACAGACACACACACACCATCACAGACAGACACACACACACACACACACCATGACACAGACAGACAGACACACACCATGACACAGACACACACACACATCATGATAGACAGACACACACCATGACAGACACACACCATGACAGACAGACACAAACCATGACACACACGCACACCATGACAGACAGACACGCACACATACACTCATACTTACACATAATATAGCTACCTGTGGGTGACCGGCCAGTGAGTCGTGCAGGGCAGACTGCTGGGTCAGGTATGCTGGCGGCCGTAGGGGGGAGCTGGCTGTGCTTGTGCCAGGTTCCCGGTATTCCGGTTGGCCAGTCCAGCCCTGGTTTGTTGTATGGAACAAGAAGTTGTCCCGTCGGGAAGTCACGTAAAGGGGCGGTAATTTCCACGTAGCAAAGTATTGTCTTGACCATGCAGAGTTGCAGTTCCGTTGGAAAAAACGGGTAAAAGACCGTCGTAAAATACGTCTTAGTATGTCGGGACACAGAGAAAGACGCACCATCTGGAGTGAACGATAAACCTTCAACATCAAAGATCCTAACGTCCGCCACCCGACCAGACAAAGCAGGAGATCAGACAAAGCAGAATTGTCAGTTTCGCTGAAAGTTGACGTAAGGACAGCGAAGCGTTGTCCGGCCATTCCCGTAAAAATCGTAATACCACTTCGAAGGTAGGCGGGAGCCCTATAGATGTGTAAGTGGTTGTGGTGGCAGTCTAGGCATCAGGAGCCCTATAGATGTGTAAGTGATTGTGGTGGCAGTCGGGGCACTGGGAGCCCTATAATCTGTAAGTGGTTGTGGTGGCAGTCACAACTTACAAATCTGGAGGGCTCACAGTGCCAGGATTGCCACCACAACCACTTACACATCTATAGGTCTCCCAGTGCCCGGACTGCCACCACAACAACTTACACGCAAGGGATCTGAGCAGGAAGATCTCACAGATCAGTGCTCCCTTGCTGCCTGCCTGGGAAACAGCTGGCAGTCTGCCTGTAACAGATTCATCCGCACATAGAAATGTTTATGATGGTATTTACCGTCCTGACAGGAATAGTTGTGCCCATCTGCAACCATGCGCCCAGATACCTGATAAACCCAGCATATCTACGGACGTCGGCCGTTGCGGATTTATGCCACTTTATAGCCCCATGGCAGCCCACGTTGATGACTACGTCGGCGTGCGTGTGACGTCGCGCGCACATTTTGGGGTCAAAGGACGGTTACAACCAATCGGATAAACAGGAGGAATATTTAATTGAGGAGTCTCACAGGACACTATAGTGTTAGAAATTCCTAACACAATAGATTCTCTTTAATCTACACCAGAACATAATCGATCTTTCACGTAAATCATTGATGGATTGTTTAGTTCAGGCGGAGCTTAACAGAAATTTGATTTGTTCGTTACAGAAGAAAGGATTTGTGTACAAGTCCAGTATTATCCCTTTTGAGAGACTGCTGGACACCAAACTTTATTTTAGTGTCAAACTGTTTGAATCTCTCTAGTGGAGTGGAGATGCCAGGATTCTACCCTGGGTTTGGAACAACATAATTAAACTTGGGTAACCACATTGTAATTTTACTCAAGTGCTCTTTAAAGAAGAAATGAAGTGATAGATTTTCTGTGTCTTACCCAATAAACCACTTTAAAAGCCTTTACTTATGTGAGGGGTTTAGTGGACAATCACATTCATAACAGTTCTGCAGTCATCTTCGTGTGCGGGTGTGTCTGCTCTCCTAATGTTTTGCAAGCATATGCTGATCAGGTATATGTTCATACCCGCATGGGATCCATTTTATTTACATTGTGTGCCAAGCGGTGCCATGACAATTTAGCATATGATTTTTAATTAGCATATTTCATAGCATTCTTTACATTTACTATTAGTTTCTGAAATAATATATTCCTTTTTAAGAAATATATACTTGAATACTGTGCTCAGTAAAATGAAGATAGCAGTCTGCCCTGTAGTATTCATTTTACAAATGTAATCCTGTAGTGTACTTATTTTTCTATCTGCATCTCTGATTATAATGGCAAAGCTGTCTCTATGCCTATATTGCATACACCATGTGGCAAATTATTATTGATGACGCAAGCTGCTACTTTCCTGGTGGATTTCCCCTAACTGTAGTCATTGCTGTATTTCCTTGTTCACTGACTTAATATAAACAGGAAGGAATGTAGACACATATACAGACACAAACTGCCACTTGCCATCCACCTGTATATCTGGCTGCCGTGTTCACAGATACAGTCCCATCACTAATAATAATATATAACCATATGAACAGTCACAAAGCTGTACATTCCTATACAGTGTGCAGCATAGAGCTATACATTAGATACTCCTACATGTACTCAACCGATCCATACTGTCATTGCCGTGTTTCCACCTTATATGGCAGCATTTTAAACTTGTTATTTTTATCAACATGCAAAAAACAGATATTTATTTGCACAAAAAGGTCATGAAAGCCACTTCCTCTTTCGTCACTGTACATACAGACATCCAATGACATGATAACTGTTTCACATTTAAATGTTCCTATATAATGTTGCAAAACCCATTTTGCCACTACACCACCCAGTGGTGGAACCAAAGTACAGAGGGCTCTGTTGCAAGAATTTTGTTGCTCCCTCCCTTTGCAAGGATCGGAAATAAGTAGATCCCGTCTGTTGCACAACTCCCACAATGCTTTGCCAGCTGGGGATCTACCCCGCCCGTCCTTGCAGGGTTTTATTTAGCATTGAGCAGTGTTTGTATGTTTTAATGTAACCATGTTTTTGTATGGACTATATATGTGTGAATGTAGGGGTTTATAGTGTTGTGTTGTGTATTTGTATGTAGTGTTGACATTTGAATGCAATGGTATATTCGTGTATTATTAATTATTAGTGTTGGAGTTTGAACTCTGACATGCATGCAAACAACACTGTATTTAGCATGAGGCTGACAAGGCATTTGCCTTCAGCGGCACATTCACGGGGGTGGAAAAAAATGCTGCCCCAAATGCCCCAGCAGATATCTTGTCAGCCTCTTGTCCTGGGGTCTCAAGAGGTGGTCATCTGGCCACCTTGGGCCCCACTCCCA